GTTTCCGTTGGTGACACTCTCTTGTTCTACTCCTTTAACTGGGTCATTTTCGCTTTACAGCACCACTCTGGAAAATCCCTGCTTTGCTGATGGGCGATTTGGAGCGGATGCTAGTAAGTATATTCTCTTTCAGGTTAACTCTACAGAGCCATGTGGTTTGTTGGATTTACGAATCATGAACAGGAACTGTACCATTGCTGTCCCTCAAGTCACTTCGCCCTAAACCCAGCTCGTCAAAAGGACCAGTTTTTCCATTTAATGCTGCGTTAGTGTTTCCGTCAGCGTCACCACTCCACCTAGTCCTCTCCCCAAGACTACTACCATTGTTGTGAAACTTGTGACAGTCTAGTAATTACTCCTCGGGCAACCAGGGAATATCCAGATCCCGTGCAACGTCTCATAATAGTGCTCGACGCAGCCAGCTAGGTTTCTTCGCCAAGCCATTGTTTCAACACAGCTCAGAGATTTTTGCTATGACAATAGTGGATGGGAAGTGGTCTCTACATTCACCGTGTATAGTTCACATGGTTATCCTCTGGTGGATAGTCAAGCAAACATACTATCGTACATGACATTAAGGGTATCAATTATATTTACGCTCTATTCCTGAAGTGAAAAGCTATCTAAGCTAGAGGCCTTCCTATAGCTCTATCCCATGAAGAGTTTTAGTACTATTTCGTTTCAGTGCTTCCAGAAAAGGGTGTCACTCCGTACACAGTTGCATTACCATAACCTAACATATATTCATACATACTTATGTGGCTACACAGATACACAGCCGTCCTTCCTAGCCCTGTGACATTATGGCACCCTTAGTTACAGGAGTGTTGGAACCGATGGTCCCACAAGAATGTGTTTATCTCAGCTAAGTCTTTCATAGTTATCCATGGGCATAGTAGACTCACATAGTATTTAGGACTCTTCAAGTCAGGATCATATTATGTAGTAGGCATGGAGCTTACAACTCGGCCCCACCAGAAACAAGAATTTGAAAGCAGCGAACATTGTAGCGACTCATAGTTCCTGAGTCAGATTTTACCATCACACCAGGAAGGGCAGGAGATACTGATTTGAAATTTGGGATTCGCGGTATCTATCTCATGATGATCTAGACTACTAACGGAGTAGTTCAATGCATAGAGACCAGTGCCCTGGGCCAATCAATTTCCACAAACCAGATAACCACGGGCAACGGGGTGACAGGGGGCAAAGATTCGGGAGAAGATTAAAGAACCGGAAGATAAACAATAGCATATAAGTATCAGGCGCCACGTGGTACTGCTGCTTGTTACCATTGCTCACTTTTAGATCAAGAAATTTCTGGGTAAAATGACTTTATCCACCCACCAACTCAATCCTCCCAAAAAGAGTTGACTAAATCTCGTGATTACCGGAAAGCATCCCAATTATGGATCCCTGTAAAGCAGGTAATAATCTAAGATGTCTTCAATAGTTAGTGGAAGCTTCTGACTCAGTGTATTTCTCTCCAATGACTGGTGCAAAACCCAAGAGAATGTACAGTGACCATATGGTAGGTGACTGATATTATCTAGTGGTAATTCTAATTCTTCATACAGTACGCTCCCTGTCCCTTGTAAAGATACCCACCAGCGCTTTTAAAAGGAAGGGTTGCTCTTCAGCAATTTTATAGGTCTGTGACTAAGTAACATAGTTTAATAATCATAAATTCCTCACCCTCGCAATTCAACCAAACATATCTAGAAGGTGTTTCAATGCTGAGTCTCGACACGCGGCTTGGGCCAAAGGAATGTGTCAGCCAGATTTGGTAAAGGATTTACAGAGTACGGAATCTTCAGAACACCAGAAATAGACCATTTCGGATTCAACATCTGATTCGATATTTCCCTTGATTCTTAGGTAGTATATTCGAATATTGGCTCTCCTGTCTAATCAGACCTTCTTCCTTGAGCGTATCTTATATGTACGTTTACCATAGAAACCGTATTGAGCCGGACTGGCTCACAGAATGCTAGCTGGTTGAATGGGTCAGTTAGGGCACCACTCAATTCAGAACCGTCCCTTTCTAATGTTATCATTGGGGACCTTATAAATAATGATCCCAGCATAGACCTCTGCAGGAGGCAAACTGTATTATTTGACATTAGGATCAATCTTACCCTGTGCCTAGTGACCAAATCTTTCAGACGCTCTGCCAAGAGATAAGACCTTGAATTATAGACTGTATGCGTTCTATGAATAGGACAAATCTCACGAACTCTACCCTCTTCCCTTGCGGGTTTAATTTTCTAGTGATGCCCTTTCCTCTCCCTAACCAGCAGGGACCTAAGCCTGAGCCAGGAGATGACATCTTAGATTGTTTAAAAGGCGAGCTTTAGGCAGTCCTCCACCCTACATTTGTTAAAAATCATAAGAAAGCACAATTTAACTAGCAAACAGCGGAAGAGGATTTTGAGTCCAGCTACTTAATGTTCATTAATAGTAGTAAAGCCTTTAACCGTCAGCTATTTATAGCAATCAGTTATTTTTATATAACTATACAGGAGTTCGAAAATTTACGTCTCTTCACTACTCCAGAGGATGAAGCAGGGATTGCAAATCTTTTTAAGATTCTAGTGATCATGTTCGGGCCACATCTCTTCTCTCATCATGGAAGAACTCTCTTTGGAATTGCAGTACAGTCTGGCATCTAGGGCAAGCCTCTTTGAGGATTTTTCAGAAGCATTTTATATGAAAACCCTGGATTATTGTGCCGCCGTCGACTGAGAGTCAAAACCAAGACGCAGCGACAACAGATCGCGCATCAAGAGACTAAAGACTTCTTTGATGGACTTGAAGATGATTGGTTGACCTATGCAAGCAGAACAGTGCAATAGGAGGTAAATTTATTGAAAAGATTCTACGTACAGTTATAGAGATTATGGTAATTAATATGAAGGCTAAGATTTTGCATTATTTAACACTTTCGTATGTTTACTCTACCACAAAATCTTATTTTAACCACTCACTGAGGATTGTACCGACGGCGCCTAGGAGCCGGGTCTACAGTAGGCACGTATTTCCTGGCCCAGAGGGAAAAATTCACATGTGTTAAGTAAGGTTGGCGGTTTTGATTGAGCAGACGAAATAATCAACGGAGCCCGGATACATCGTAGGTGGTTTCCATCTTATATTACTATAAGCTATGTAATACGGCCATTGCAATGTGCCAATGGTGGTATACGTAGTACTTTGTGCCTTGACCCCAGAGTTATTGTCAAATTACGGGCGGGTTCAGCATGAGGAAATTTTTCTTCAAGCCTTCTTTTGCGCTTCAGCGATCCTGGTATGAGTTTTTGGAACGCAAGGAACTCTTATATGACCGAGGCTCTCAATACCTAAGGATATCGGTCGCAAAATAACACATTATTCTTGATCTCCTTGGGCTTCCAGAGTTGCTCACTCAAAGAGATACAAGAATTTGCTGGCCCTATGGAGCCCATGCCACGTTGGACACTCCGTTTCCAAGTGCTTCTTTGCATAAGATAGGTATCCATAGCACCGGTCGTTGGTCAAGGCTTTTCGAGAATCACTATAGCTCTTCCATCAGCCATCCAAAAGACATAGTGGTTGCCATATGCACAAAGTTGACTAATATGGTGGTTTCTTAGGCGATTATGCCCTACAAGTGACTGCAGGATTTCTACTGTACCTAGATGGCTAAATACTATTAGAGCAATCACAGAACTTATATAATAGTAAGTGTTATCAGCATGATAATGAGGCTGAGATTCTGACTCACGGTTTATTGGAGTTAATATATACATAAGAGGGCAGGTAAAATCTTCCCCAGTGTCTAGACACTGAAGTAAACTGTTTGAAGTGAACCATAACCTACTCCCCTAGGTCGGTACTTATTCTAGTTTGGAGCTCATGAGCCGAGCCAGCGGACCATCCACAAAGATAGATGGGTAGACGCCAGCAATTCTAGAATCCATCAATAGTCCACTGAGGAAGAGAGCTATAGCCAAGTCAGATTGACTTTTTGAAAGCCAATACTTCGTAGAGCAGTAGCTGATACTGCAGAAAAATAGGATTTGTCTTGAGTATCTGCTCAAAAGATGACCCGCAAGATGGTGTAACCACACGCTTGTGCATGTGATGTAAATAATGAGAATAAATGTGATGAGTTCGTCAAGAGATATTGCAGGCATTTATTCTTCGCTTCTTAGGATGTCAATGTAGCGCACAGGTTGAAGCATATAAAATATCAATACTAGGGGGAGTACATTGTAGTTGTCTTATTATTCTATTTATAATTTTCAAACTCCTATTATTACATTACAACAGGGATAACACAGTCAGCTATTAGCAATTAATCAGAATGCAAGATACTCATAATTTCCTGCGCCTTTACCCTGTCCAAGTCTGTCAACAAGGCTATCCACTTGAACTGTTCATTGGAACATTAGCTATTGACCATGCCATATAAAGACGCCGTCTGCCAAAGGGTTCAAGAATGAAATGGTTATTCTAAGGAGGGCCCATTGAAGCACATGATTTGTGTTTTAGAGCCAAGCTAAATAACACATATATCCCAGTACTCTTCATTTTCCCTCGACAACTACGCTGACGTCTGAGGGCACTTGCCCTGTCAGGAAGAGAAAAGGGCTGGCTGTAAGCCTTCCGCCTTCCTCTTATAGGAAATCAGAAAACTAGGTAGGTCGTGCTAATTTTAGTACTGTAGCTGCAAGGCTAAATTAGCAGGTCCTACCTAGTTTCCTACACAGGAAGCCTAGTTAAGACTACAGAGGTGTGGTTGCAAACTTCATTAGCTGCGTAAGCCGTGGTAAGCGCAGTTGCATAGTCGTTTCTATAGGAGCTAATACTCAACTACAAAGCTACTGTATAGTCTGTATACAGTAATTATTTTAAGTTGCATGACCCAGTTTCCTATAGAGGAATTCTAGTTAGAAACTAGTGATATGCTCAGACCGACATTCTGGATCGACGGTCACGTTTCAAGAGGTCTAAAGACATTAATGGCCCTAGCTGCCGGCCTACTCTTCTGTAGGCTGGTGGTCTTCTACGAGGTGAGGACTAGAAAACCAATGGTCGGCAGCTATCTTATGAGTTTGAGCAACGACTACCAGCATACTGACCGTCGCTGCCACGCCACCCCAGACCCCGGGAATATCCTGTTCATTGTGAAGACAGGCGCCACAGAGATCTATGAGAAACTGCCGACACAGCTCCTGACGACGCTCAGGTGCGCGCAGCACTTTCTAATTTTCTCCGACCTTGAGGAGCAGATCGGGCCATACCATATCCTCGATGCGCTGGCAGACTTCAATAAGACCATGAAAGAAACACATGCCGACTTTGAGCTCTACCGCCAACAACAAGAATACCAGCGCGGGGGCCTGGATATCGCCACTCTCAAGAACGACGGCAAGCTGGCCTGGAAGCTTGACAAGTATAAGTTCATACATATGGTGGACAAGACGTGGGACCAGCGCCCAAACATGGACTGGTATGTCTTTATAGAGAGCGACAGGCATGTCGTCTGGACGAACCTCCTCCACTGGCTGCGCCAGTTATCACCGAAGGAGAAGCTATACATGGGTTCAGCGGCCTTCATCGGGCACCAGGCTTTCGGCCACGGCGGGAGTGGGTATGTCATTTCGAAAGGGCTGATGGAGGCGTTTGTGGGGAAGAATGCCGGGATGGCGGGTCATTTTGATGAAGCATTCCCGTCAGAGTGCTGTGGGGATTTCGTGCTGGGACGGACCCTCACGCAGGAGCTCAATGTTAGAATCCAGAATTTTTGGCCCTAAGTGAATGGGGAGAAACCAGTGACGCTGGAGTTTGGAATGAAACAGTGGTGCCAGCCCATTGTCACAATGCATCACATCATGCCGCGAGAGCGCAGTGCCATCTTTGAGTTTGAGCAGGCACGCAATAATGTAACAGTATGACTCTCTCTAAGATAGATGATGCAGCGCGGCACTAACAGCCCTAGATACCACTCCTTTTTCAGGAACTCTCTGAGTTATCCTTTCCACCGGGTAGGATGCGCGTCCAGGAGGATGACTGAGATAACCTCGCTGATGTGCCAATGGAACTGGATAGTCCTTCAATGGAGTCATGTCAAGACAAGTGCCTGAATCATGAATTCTGCTTTCAATGGCGAATATAGCAAGGAGGAGTGCCATGTGTTGACTGAGGCCTTCAGGCTCGGAACAAAACGGCTGCCTGAGAACCACCGCCGGTGGTTCTCAGGGTGGAACGTCCAGCGAATCCAGGAGTGGCGGGATGTGCATCCGTGCAAGGAGCCAGCATGGGTGAAGGCGCATTGATTACATTAAATCAAGGGGTATGTACATAGCACTTGTAGCATAAGATTTCATGGTAGTAGAAATGTCTCTGTTATATATATACTCTATGTACTGTATGTCTAGCTAGTATGATGCTGTAACTGTTGGTAAGGTTGGTTAGTGGGCAGTTGTGCCCGCCAGCACTTGCGAACCTGGCCATATCCCAAACCAGACGTGAGCTCAGAGCCCTAACTCGTGTGACGGTTGTACTAAGTACCTGCGCATATCCAGCCATATATAGGTCATGTCTTACCCCTTGCGCTACAGTAGTTTCAAAATCATAGAGTTGATATTCTGTCTTTGAACTGTTTCCTTCAAAGCTTTAAGACAAGAGGACATGGAATCCACCCAATCTTTTCTGCAATTCTAAGACGTGCCTAAATTACTTAAGACTCATAGTAATAAAGGCAGGGATGATAAGCTTCTACCTTAATCTGTGCTCTTATTTCTGTGACAAGTTACACGCAAGAGGAATAAGTTAAGCAACTTAAGCTACTCATGAACTCTTGTGAAAACTTTAGTTGACCTAGACTATGGATGTAATTATTCTATGTAACACACACCTGTCTACACAAGGCTCCTCCTTGGTCATATAAGCTAAGAAGATAAAGACAATCCAAATCCTAAATCTAAATCTGTGGGTGCTTATTTCTGACATGTGCCCTATGGCATGGCTATAAACTTATATTTCTAAAAATTGATAAGCACATATTCTACAATCAGTGCTTAAATTAATGGTTAGGCGGCACAATATTGGCAAGAAGAAAACAAATAAAAAACTAAGGGAAGAAGGAAAAGATAATTAGTGAAAGCCACAGACCATAGATAATGCAGGGACGCATAGCCTCATCTTGACTAACAGGTTGTTACATGAACAATCAACTGTCAACATGCATGTGAGACAGTCCTCAACTATTATGGGACCTTGCAATTCCAGCAGGCAGTGTCACGGTGATAACTTTGTAATTTCTCATTCATGCCTGCGTCTCAGTCCTGGTTGTAGATGTAATAATAAATAGAGGGTCTTTGCTGTTGTTCACTGCATCTTATAGGCTCTTGCGACCAGATGCCTCAACGCACAGCTGCTCGAGGCAATGGCTTCCAAGATATTTCTTTGGCACATTCCTTGGCTTGCTGGGGCTAGGTGAAAGGCGTCTGTCTTCCCAGGAAGTGGGATGACAGCAGATCATAATTATGATCACAGGTGGAAGTGAAGTAAAGACTGCCATATTTTCAGATAATAAATGAATGAGCGTGGTGCAAGTTGTACTGACGCAGTATCTAAGTTCCTGGCAGGACGATGACTTATAATCAGCCGCGAAATAAGGGGATGGCTTTGCTTAAATTAAGAGTTCATTCCAAGATATCAACTCGCACTTCTTTCTATACAGAAGATTGGCAGCTTCTTCAAGCATCTTGATAGATGGAGGGAACATGCACTCTACTGCGCGTGTTATATACTCGCAGAGGGCCTCCTCTTCGATATCACTTAGCTTCTGCTGCGAGACCAAGGCCTCACTCTGCAGACGCCGCGTTCCATGCAAACGGTGCAGTAAAGTATGATAGTTGACGTCGAACCAATTCGCTGCTTCTCGCGCCGTTAAAACCTCATGATTTGCAATGCTTTCCAATGCCTTCTCCAGCCGGAATGCTAGAGGGGCAAGAGGAGGCAGCTCCTCCTCTTTTCCGCTGTATTTCGCCTCCAATTCTTCCATGAGCGTTGGGGAAGGCGAAGATAATGGCGATAGATTTAAAATAATCAGTGTTCCAAGATCGTACTCCTGCGTCTCAGGGATCTCTCTCAGCCAGCCTGAAATCAGTATGGCAGGGGGCAGGCGCGTAGGCGTTTCCACGTTTTCAACGCGCGTTTCCGGGAGACTTTCGGAATAGGGTAGAATAAATAGGGTATTCGGGGAACACTCAAAATGAATATTTCCAAGCAAGTATCGGCCGTTCCGAAGAGAGGATGGTTAATATCCATTGAGGTAAGGCATCTTGGATATACGCCGCCGAGCATACAATACATACAATACAGCAACTATATCTGAGACGTAATTGTAAAGACTGTAAATATACTTTTAAAACCCATAACTGAGAAGCTGAGCCGATGCACAGGGCCCAGTGGGGGAGGATTTTCACTTACGATTTGCAAACATACACCAAAGGAGGAATAGATGAAGAGATAGTCACTGAAACAGCTCATTATGAGGTGTATTGACATACAGCCTTTAGACTAACGCCAAGCCTTTAATATTCTTCAAGGTCGCTGGTGCAGATTGGTTGGAGGTAACGGCTGGTGGAAAAACGAACCAATAGCTGCAGAGCAAATCTGATCACTGTATAGACAAGATACGACCTTGGTGCTACTAGATGCACGGTCATGGAGTCGGAATCGCATACCCCCCTTTCCACCCCCCTGGACAGATCTTGGGTCCTTGAAGCAGCAAAACAAACCAGGACTGCCTGAATACTGTACACTGTATGTAACCCATCCGCGGCCTTTAGGCTGGATAAGAAGTGGCTGCCTAAGCATCTCCGCTCTAGCTAGTAACTTCTTTACTAGTAGGAAGCCCATTGCGAAGCCCGCCTTATTCAAGTTGTACATATCGCGCAATCTCATGCTGCATGATATTATTTGGACTCGATTAGAATATGCATGCTAGTTATTCATAATGGTATTTACCCATTTTCTCGGAACAGTCGCCGTAGTGGGCGAACCACGCTTTGAAAGCAGGATGTCGCCGGGATGGCTGGAGAGCCGCTCCACGCTGATACGTTTGACATCATAGTATAAGCAATTCCCTTTCCTTTTGTCGCTTCAGCACAAAAAATATGACGAATATTATGAAATTCTTCTTTTCCAGAGCTAACACTGCAAGTATCTCAAATATTTTCTCCCTTGCTCAATAAATATTTTGAATTTACATGCGCTTTTGGTGGCATAGTTAAATTGCTTCCACATTATGATGGCTGTCAAAACACGCAGGGTGATCCGCTTGCTTAATTATTACGTTAGTTGACTACGGAGTAACGTAATACCCTATCGAGTCAGTCAAGAGTACCAAGCCGATCATATTTGTAAATCATATAGAATTTCACTTTTCAACGCCCTAGTAGCTCACAACTACAGTCATACAGTGGTTCAAATAATAATACCACTAGGCCAAAAGGGTATCCGGATATAATCCCAGTCAGTATAGGGTCTCATATCTGTAATTGTAGCAGTATTTCTCTTTTCTAACAAGTGGCTTGCACTATTACCATTCCCGTCCTGGTTCTTCCTTCAGATACTTTTCTAAGCCCTAAGCCGTTGACGCTAGTAGAAATGCGGTTAGTGTGTAGATGACAGCTCTTGGCAGGACTAAGTAGACCTTGCCACGACCTGCAGGTCACCCTGACGACCCGGACCGCGACCCGGGCCACGGAGGTTCCTGGGTCGTAAGTTCCGACCCTGACCCTCTATGAGGGGAGGGTCGTTGATGATGGGACCCGACCCTCAGGGCCACAACCCTCCCCTCAGGGTCGTAAAACAATGCAAACATCAGCAGGTCACGAGGTGCATAAATTGTGTAGATTTTGGTGGTATTTTTGAGTATCTCGCTTACAGCCATTTGTAGGTCTACTTGGTTAGCTTTAATCCCCCTGAAAGCACTGAATCAAAATGGAATAAACAGATGAATTAAACAAATTATACTGCATGTTCTACGTCTCATATCCATCAAGCAACCTTGAACACTTGCGAACTCTACCTAACACTCAGTGCTGCATCTCTGGCAGGGACGTCACTTCACTATCATCCTCCTGATTACTTTCCGCATCCTCAGCTATATTCCTTAGGCGTCTTTTGCCAAGTGCCTTTGCAGATGGACCATGCGAAGTTGCTCGGAGCTCGGTAGAAGGCCCTTCATCCTCTTCGTCATCACTAATTGGATCAACAGTGATTTGTTGCTGTGTTCTCTCTGCCGTTGCAGCCTGTATCTCCTGAGCTGAAAGATATTCAGAGAGCATTATTTCCTTTGCAGTTCAGCAAAGAACTCAGGGGTAGTTGAGTCTTGTAGACAATTGTCTGTCTCTGTGGACACAAGGAGATAAAATAACAGATCACATTTGATACTCCTCATGCTAATTGGCTAGAACTGAGGGTCGTGAGGGTGAACCTCAGGATCATGAGGGTCACCCTGAGGGTCACCCTCGCGACCCTAGGACTTTGGCAGGACATAGTTGAACTTAATCGATATATTTCGCTCAATTTTGACAAGCATAAGTATCAAGAGAGTGAATACTATATGCTGAATATAAGTAAGTCAGGATTTTCAGAGGTTTGAGGCTAAACACTGAGAATGTCAAAGTTCTCCAGATTATGGTGCAACTACCGTCTACGATCAAAATATATTTCCCCATCGTTATATGCCACTCTCTCCAACTCTTCACAATACACACCACAATGGTGTTACTGAGAC